AGAAAAAAAAATAAGTATAAAAATGTAAAATAATCTAAGCTGTGTATAATAATTTGTTTTTTTGTCATGATTGGAAATAAAATGGGCTTTATTATTATTATTAGATTATAATGTTAAATTCAGTCTGAGACAATTTATAAAAAAAAGTGTTTTGTTACTCTGCATAAACTTCTGAATACAATACTTAAGATATATATGAACCACATAAAATCGAAATTAAAACAACCTTCATAAAAATTTGACTTTATTACATTAATTTGTATTATCTTATTATTATAAATTTAATGTGTTTGTGCTAATGTAACGCTTAACATTCTTTGTCATAATTTTACTTCGGAATTTTATGATAATTCTCTATCAAACATTTGTGGGAACCAATTTCATTCCGAAATATTCGTTTATATGCTAACTGTATATTTATTGTTTCCCTGGAATGGTTTCGCATATCTCGGGGATTGGGATGGTTGTAATAAAGCTTTATTCCAGGATTCAGAATTAAGCTGTTTAATTTAGTTTTGCATTTTCATTTGGAGGAAGCTTTTGTCAAGATAAAAGCTTCTTGGTAATAATAATAATATCTAAAAAATACCAAAACGAAGTACAGTAATAAATACTTACATTAATTATTTAACTAACTTTTATCAATATTTCTTCCAAACTCCAAAAAAGGTTTCTTGCTTATTATTCTTCTAATGGGATTTTCTTTGTCTCTTACTATGATTATACGGTGTTTAGGAACAATTTTTACGGCATTGACGGAATATAGAGTGGACACTTAAATATAGAGTGAAGAATATACGCACCAATGCGTTTGAAATCGTTTCACGACTCTTGCGCAAATACAAAGTCGGCATGTGTCCTAATTGTATGGTATTCCAGTACACAAAGGTGCTGCTCAAATTAGGAATACACCTGTTCTAGTGTCGGTTATTTAAATAGCAGTTACTGAGAACGAATATCTGAATGGTCTATATACCGTGTGAATTCTCATTTCGGAGCCCAAGACACTTTTTGGGTCGTTACCATGGTAACACGTGTCTATGATGAAAAGGCCAGAGAAGTCATGATACGAGAGTATATTATGTGTTTATAAAGCAAAGCATAAAAAAAAGGGTGCGTGTACTTATGTAGGCGCGTAAGAAGTTATACTTCTTTTGCATTATTAAAAATAGTTTTTGATTGCATGCAAATAATTAATTACAATTAAATAATCAAAGACTGGAAAAGGAGTCATTATAGTCAATAAAGTTCAGTTTACATTTGAAAAATTAAATAAATAAATATTTATTATTATTCTCTTACATTAAGTGTAACATAAATTCTATTATTATTCGAATGTTGTTTTTAAATTATGTCCAATGCCGTAGCATCTTCCGTGGGCAACTTCATTCTGTTAATTTTGTGTCACGGTGCGCGCGCATCGTAAAATTTCACTCTCATCAATTTTTCATAACGCGCCTAAAGAAGTATAACTTCAAAATTTAATATGTTTCGCGAGTAGCAACCCACGACTTTTTTTTATGTGGTATCATCCAATACTGTGACATGGAATTTTAAGATATATGTATTAAATTAGTGAATACAATAACGTTGATAAATATTAACCAAACGCGATGGAGACTCACTGTGGACGACCTCTGCCCCATCTAGGGGTTATAGCATATTAAGTCAAGTTAAGTAAGTAAATAATTAGTTTTTATGTTCGTGTTTCACCAAGGGACTTACGTGTTCATATTAAATATGTTTTTGCCACAAACCAAAGGTACACATATATAATGACCGAATGTCGATATACATCAACAAGTATTTACTATATTATTTACATACACAATCGTGGTAGCAAGAGACCACGGCTTGGACTATCAGGTCGTGTAAATTATTAGAATGATTAGCTAAAATGAGTATGTCACCATCGTTCATGATCTTTGGTGACACCGTTTATATCCCGTATTGAAAAACTAAATCTTCCAGCAGTTTTGGAGCCAACAGGTATCGCTAGAGACGATGGCAAGCAGATGGATGGGATGTTGTTAATCTCTTGGAAGATGTGACGGCTTGGAGTACGCTTGTGTGGATGTGTTAGCCCCGTTCTTTAGGCGCGTTATGAAAAATTGATGAGAGTGAAATTTTACGATGCGCGCGCACCGTGACACAAAATTAACAGAATGAAGTTGCCCACGGAAGATGCCACGGCTTGGAGTACGCTTGTGTGGATGCGTTAGCCCCGTCTCACATCCCGGACAAGCACAAAAGCTGGCGCGGCCGCTGAACAGTCGGCTCAACTATAAGAGCCTTTCCTCCAACTTTGATTTTATTCCTTTTGGAGTAAAGACTCTTGGACCGTGGAGGTCCATGCACAGACGCTAAGTAAAGATTTAAGTTGGCTAGTAGATAGTACCGGTGACCCCAGAGCTGTTGCTGTCTCCGCTCAATGAAGGTACACTGCCGCAGGAACCCATTTTTTATTTATAAATTATTTTATTAGGTAGGTATATATTCAAATACTGTAAATTAATGTGTTGGAAACAAATCGTATTTGTTTTCTAAATAAGTTTTGTAATAATAAGCTGTTTAGGTAAACAAAATGTAAACTATAAAGAAACAATATCAGATTTAACAAAGCGAAAATGCTAATTTAAAATAACCGATATGATATCATAGATTGGAATCATGCGCCCGCGGCGGTCCAACGCAATGCAGTGGCTTATAATTAACACGCTCCAAGTCTTATAAACCGATTAGGATCTAAGCTTTCGTCAATGGCAGCCCTCGAACGATTGCTTATCACTGATTAATTGCAATTGAGAGTTTTGCTTTGGACCTATCATTAGGACTAAACACAGTCCTGAACAACTTTCGACAAATCACCAATGTGTTTAGCACTAAGCTTCATCTGGATTTATATTGGCTAATTGTAGGGTGAGGGAGTTTGCGTATTTTTATACGTTTGATATACTTTTTGTAGTTGAATATAATACGTGTTAGATTTGTCTATACTAATGTTATAAAGAGGAAAGATTTGATTTTTTGTTTGTTTGAAATGAATAGGCTCCGAAACAACTGGACCGATTTCAAAAATTCTTTCACCGTTGGCAAGCTACACTATTCCCGAGTGACAAAGGCTATGTTTTATTTTCAAAAAAATTAGGGATGCTTACTAAAACTTGAATAATCTAACCCAAGGTGTAAAAAAATATACAAAAAACTTCCTTCAATCGCGTGCGCTGCGAAAACTATTAATGATAGAACAAAATGATGATGTACAATTTTTCAGGACACATTACTATCTATAAAAAATGTCTCGACAGCATGTCTCTATCTTTTATAGTTTAGTCACAAAGCTCCCTTTTATTATTATTTTTTTATTAAAATACCACCGCTAGAAAAGGCTCTTTATTCGTACCTAGGTATTGATCCTTATCAAAATAAATACCAACGTTTCACATAGGCTTCAATTTAATGGTATAACCACCAAAAAAGCATGGTGGATTGGTGTTCTGCTGTCGTTTCTCTTGAATAGTTTACTACTATGTAATATTATAACAAAAATCTTAGCCACAGCAACGCTTGGCCGAGTCTACTAGTATACTAATATATTAATTGAAAGAAAAATTTATTTCACACACTAATATTCCCTGTGTGGAGCAAGTCTCTTCCATTTGACATATTAATGATTTTAGTTAGGTACTTGATTTAATAAATTCTACATAACATTTACAATTTTATAATTAACTACTGTTGAATACTTTCCGTTTCAACATAGGACAGGTTGAGAAGATTGTTATTGAATGTATAAAGTTTTGAATAGTCATAAATTTGTTTTTTTTTTAATTTAAAGTGGTTAAAGATGAAAGGGCCTCTGAAAGAGATATTTATTTTTATAACCAGATTTAAATATAATTAGCGGCGCACTCTCATCCCTAGGGTCCTTCTTTATATGGGCACATTTAACAATCGCTCAAACGGAAAACTTTGTGAGTAAACCGGCTAGCCTTAGACACAAAAAGTCGACGTATATCAGGCACAGAAGGATGACCTACTTGCCTATTAGATTGACATAATGAAACAGATTCAGAAATATGCGGCCTAGGCCTAAAAAGGTTGTAGTGCCACTGATTTGTGTTTATTACCATAGCATGTCACAATAACAAGTAGAAATTGAAATAAGTGTTCGAATGAATGAATGAAGTAGTGTATACATATACATATCTACAAGATTTGTCTATCACCATAACACTGATTGATATTTTGATTTAAGGATTACGTCTGTACTATGTTCAATTATAAATCCCAGTTAAGCGATTATCGTAAATGACTTTGTTGCAATGTAAGGTTGATCTGAACATTCGTTATATAAATCAATACAGCGCTATAAATATCAAACGCGTTAATTACAGTGGAAGCGATACCCAGTAGGGAGAGGTCTTCAGTAATTATTGTCTCCCTTCGAGCGTTCTAGCCTTCCTGTGATACATGCAATAAAAGTTATAGCGAGCAATACATATGCATAAAATACTTTGTTTTATTAACACCTAAATTGGAAACTGTAGGAGCAAGGAAAAGGTGTGGGCCTTTGGATGCTGTCTAATAAAAGTATAATACATCTTTCGTCGGATTTCTCACATACTTTTTGTAGCTTTTATTATAAGTTAGATCAATATTGATAAAGAATTGCCGGATCACTCACATACACACACACACGCATACACCCATACAATTTTATTTGTGTAGTAATCTAGTTGACTGTTTTGATTAGTTTTTTTCCTTTTTTAGAAACTTAAAATTTTGCATAAATATATGCTCATATATGTACTTTTTTGTAATTATGATTACTCATAATTACTCATTATGACTTTGCTGTGGAATGGAAGCCTGATTATCCATATCACAGGTTAAAAACCAGTCTCCCAATTCCTTCTTAATTGTAATCATACTGTTTGTTTCAGTTGATATATGGGAGAAAATAAAGAATTGTAAAGAAAGAAGAAGAAAGCTTTATATTATTCTATGATCAATACTATTATAATAAGCTTACCAAGAAGCTTGGTAACAGCACCTTGCTGAGACAGCACGTGATGGGCGATGTCGTAATGCCGCAGACCGAAACGCGACAGCTCTAAAAGCCTTTGTTGCGAAAGAAGCGATGAGAGGGGATGTGATGCTCCTCCGGGATACAGCGATGAGCTGCCTCCGCCGGAAGATGATGGAGAAACTGGAACTAAAAGATCATATGTCAAATGTTTACGTAAATTTTTGAAACACAAAATGTTTTAATACTTTGTTTATAGAGTACTAGTGGACTCGGCGGACTTCGATCCGCCTAACAGTCTAATAATATTGTGTTAACTTTAGTTAAAATTAATTTAGAATTTCATTAAGGTAATAAGATTAATACAACTTTTTTTGCAAATACAGAAATGTTTTATTGCTTGCCATTGCGAAAGAAGAATGGCAGTTTTACACATTAGACTTCTTCTCTCTAGCGCCAATATTGCGATACTGCAAGTTAAAGCACTTTCTGATATCTGATAGATCTGACATTTTTTGTTTTGTTATCCGGCGCGGCGGTTTCTTTTATATGCTTTATTTTGTCAAAAGATGGCACCATATGCTATTTGCATTCGTAAAATTAATTAATTTATTTATTTTTATTCGATAACTTATCCGATATTTTATTACTTATTCTGCTATTCGGAGAGACGAAGAATCCTCCAAAAAAGAGATAACTAACATCGGTCCAGCCGATCTTGAGTTATAAGTGGTGTAACTAACACGCCTTTTTTTATTTATTTAGATTTGCAGATAATTTTTTAAATTATAAAACAAGTACATGATTATACAACTTGATTTTTACAAATAAATTCAATACAAAATACCAGCTTTGAAAGTTGCAAAATTATCTTAGAAACCTTCAGCCTACTGATCTATCAACCTAAAATAATCATTATTCAGGAATCGAAGCCAATACTCTCCGCACTCTGCATTACAAAATACGCGGAAGCTGTCTCAGCTCCAAGAAAACATAAAAACGATATGATTAAGCAATCAATTTTTTATTCAAAATAGATCGGCGTTAAATAGTTCTGGGAACAAAAACATGGGGTCATTCACCTCTAAAGGTCGCGAACTCATAACCTAATGCCGAAAAATTTACTAAGTTGTTGATAAAAATTAGTGAGAAATTAAATTACTAAATAAAAGAAAATATGTTTATTATGGAATATAAGATACAGGTATCACTTATTCCACGTCATTTAATTTTTAATCGGTAGACATCCCTACTCATCGGCAAAGAAGACAGAGGGTGTAGGCCGAGATAAAAAGCCGGCATAAAATACTCTCGGTACTCTTTTAAAATAGCATATTATCATACAAAATGACTATGGCAAAACAACACTTATTTTAAAACAAATATGGCAAATTAAATAGAAGTAGCCTGTCTAGCACTAGTCCTAGGCCTAGTTAAAAAACTAGATAATCGTATACTTTATGGTAAGCCCACACAGCTTTTCTTTAATACATTTCTTAAATTTATTAAAAGACAGAGATACTAAACTTAATATTTAAATATATTGTTTATGTTAAGAAAATATTTGTTGAATTTATCTCATCTCTATAATATATTTAATTTCGTACAAAAATATGTCAACAATACTGCAATATAACATTTATAACCGGCCTACAATTAGTTTGCAGTTTAAGAAAAACCCATAAAAATCTTGACTGTCAAACCAACTCCAAGTAAAATAAATAGTTCCTTTATTTCTACCGATAGTATATTTACATTTATATAACTTTACCTTAATTCGTTTTTAATTTATTTTTTAACACTTCGTTGCATACAGAAATATAATACAATTGACATAATTAAATGAAAAGGGCAGCTGGCGGCTATATCGTTTTCAAGCGATGTCTTCCAGGCAACCACTGTGAGAAACAAAAAAACAAGAAAAATTGAATTAGATAAGGTACGTAAGAATACCTAAGACATATTATAGTTATGTAGGCAAAACGAATAAATTACTTTGAGATAAGTTTCACATCAATTAGTAATTATCAGGTAATGTTTGTAAAGTAGAGACCTAGAGGACGATAGAGAGAGAGAGAGGAGATACAGAAGGAGAAGAGAACTGAATTCCATAGCCTCACCGCAGAGACCTTAAAGGATTCGCAAAGAAAGGAAAAGTTATGAGATGGGATTTCAAGGAAATAGTTTTCGGTAGAGCGTAAACTATAACTATAAAATAAGTACAAATTCTTAGTGACAAGTAAGTGGGGTCAAAATTTCGAATATTAACCACAATATCTGAGCATATCTTTCTTACGCACACGTTGAATTTTTTTATTATTCAAATATGTAATTCGTTTGTATCCTATATATATGTTAGGAATACATATCGTAACAATGTATTATACAGCTAACATACAATATGAAGCTATTAACTTAATACGCTATAATTTGTTAATCAGGCTAAGCATCGAAATTAATGTAGTGGCATAACTTGTTCATAACTTAACATTTTTTATTAGCGGATCGAAGCGGCGATCCCGTCAAGAAGGGTATTAAAAACTGTAAATTTAAATTGTGCTAAAAACGATTTTATTCACCGCAGATAAAGTCTAAAATCCGTTGTAACGATTAATCCAGCACTTAGGACGGTTCGAAGTATAATTTCTGGTGTAATCGCTTTAATAATGGAAGAAAAAGGTGATATTATCTGCCCACGGTCAATAAATTAACACCGTTTAGGGCGAAGTAGTATTTGTGTCGCTTCTATAAATAAAGCGATGTTCGCACAACTGCACTCATCTAGAGAATGATATATGATCTTCTACTTAATGTGTTTTTGAGTGGTTATAATACATACATGTACGGTTATTTAGTAAAGGGAATGTTTTAAGCAATACATTTCGCTCTATATTAACCACTCACTGTATAATTGATATTTTACAGGTTCATAAAATATGGGTCAGGTTACGTAATATAGCCGATGTAATTGTTTCACGAATGTAATTGTATCCGAATTCTGTCTCTTTTATACTTAATATAGGAAGAAAGGGACTAATAATTTATTTATTTACACTTTGTTGCTTTATAATATAAAAATTAAACATAATTACATGTAAAGGAAAGGCAACTGGCGGCCTTATCGCTTTCCAGCGATCTCTTCCAGGCAACCACTGTGAGAAAAAAAATCGTTTAAATATAATCTCTGGCTGAAATAAGGGAAAATAATAAATTCAAACAAGAAATCACAATCTGTTTTGTTAAAGGAGATCTGTAAAAAATGATACTCTCATTTTAACAAAATAACAAAATATTCAAACTATGTCATAAAAAGTGAATTTAATATGATACAAATCAATCAAAATATCACTTATTTTTATAGCTTCTAAATTTAAATTTCCTGCAAATCTCCGTAAAACGGACGTGTAGAACTCTCCACTCTTTAAACGCCAAGTATATCGTAAGTCTATAGGTAAACATTTCCCAAATACCTTCCAAAATTACGTCATACTATTAATACTATCGTTAGTTAAGGACGGATCGGTGCGTGTTTTTATTTGGGTGCGTGAGCAGTGATGCCTTATTAAAATATTTCGAGTGGAAACTGGAAGGACCACTTAGTGCGAGGGAGTTTCACGCCTGAGCAGATATAACAGCAACGACAAGATAGCTTATTTGTGAACTTAGTATATCAATGATTAGAATGTGTTCCAGGGGCGGCGCTTTAATCTTTTTACGACAGTGTTTAATGAACCGTGTATGCGAATTCTTCGATTAATTAATAGGCTAATTGTAAACGTTTTTATTTGCATTTATGTTAATTTGTAAACTAGTTTTTTAGTGTTTTCACACCTTATTAGCCAACTGTAGTGTTGGTTTTATTAGAGTTGCTTAATATAAAGAGGAAATATTTGATTGTTTTGTTTTTGCTGTTTCCTTATGTTTATATATAATAATATCAGACGAGCTGTCTTTAAACTTTAAATTTATTTAAAAATGTTTTTGATAATTTCTCTTCTGCCTCGTAATTAACTACTACTTATATATATATATATTAATTGTGACTTAAAATTAACCTTACGAATAGTTTTTACATTTTTGTTAATACATATTTTAATTTTTCTTTAGATTTTACTTTATTTTATTTTAGTTATAGTTACATTGTTATTTTGTTAATTATTTATGCACTTCTTGTACCTACTTTAATTCTTGTACTTTTCCCTCTGTAGGTGTTTCTTTTCTTATTGTTCCATATTAGGGTTGCCTGGAAGAAATCGCTTTATTGCGATAAGGCCCGTTGCCTTATAACTTATGTAACCTGATTTTTTTATTTTTTAAAAATAATAAAGCCCGGTTAAAGATAATATACAGCTTAGATTTTTTACATTTTATTAATCTTCTTATCCTGTGCTTATTTACCTTTCTAGTATGATATTTTCGTTAGTTAGTTTTAGTTAGTGTTAGTACATTATTAAATTTATATATATTATTGTTATATTGTCCCGTTACCCAACAGTTGATCATGTGACATGGTATTCAATTGGAAAATTCTTTATATAGTGAACGATAACGAATTTCTGCATCGTTTTTAGTAGATTTAAGTGTTCGTTATAGGGAGAGGAAAGAAAAAACAAATTATAATATATTATATATATATATATATATATATATATTAGATAGGTGACAATGGTGCGTTTAGTAACTAAGACCGAAATTTCCTACAGGCAATGTAATCTAATATGGCACACGTGTTAATTCAATTAACAATAGCAAAGGCGAGACGGCTGTTGACCTCAGGTGCCTTTTCTAAAAATTTCGGCACCTCAATAGGTTAGTTTTGTTGATGTCTAAATATGAAAATATTTCTTCGTAATAGAGAGTGATTGTTGCGTTATTAAGATTGAATTAATGTATGGGTTTTGTGTTAAACCAACCAAATTATACCTTTTTTACGTTATAACGAAAGACGTTATAAAATTTTTTGCACTGTATTTGAATTAAGAATGAAATGAAATGAAATAGTTTATTCTTGCAAGTAGGACTATATAAATCACTTTTACAATGTCTTCCTAAACTAGATGAAGTAGACATTTCCTAACTGACTGCCCTGAGAAGAAATGTCGAAACAAACTCGGGGGTCTTAGTCTCTTTTATAGTCCAGATAATACAATAATAAATTAATAAATTGGTGTAAACAAATGCAGAGTATT